AAGCCCAGGGCCAGGGGCTGTAAGCCCAGGCTTGGGCTAGATCCTGGATCTGGCGAGATACCTGCTTTGGAGGCAGTGTGCCCTTCTCTTTGCCCTTGCCCAGGTCTGTTACCAGTCCCTATTGGGAGCCAAGGAAAGGGAAAGAGGTAAGATGAATGGTGAACTTTCATCTTTGAGTTCAAGATGCCTGGTCAGGCCCTCAAGGGGGAGAAAGGCAGATAGAAGGCATCTCATTTTCTGTGGCTCTGGGTCAGGATTTCAAAGAGTTCCCCTTACCCAATATTTTTAAGGCCTTCCATCTAAGAGATGTGGTGGGGAAGCCAGAATGAAGGGGAAGCAAAAACCATAACACTTTCCCCATCCCCCTCTGGACTCGTCACCCTGCCCTAATCCAGATTACTGCTAGAGCTCTCCATTGTCTCCTGCTTCTGTAGTTCTGGCTGATCGATGCCCAGGATAAATGGAGCTCATCTCATAAATGCATCTTATGCATTGAGATTATCTCCCAAGTCCTTGGGCAGCCCAGTCCCAAGGGACTGCTTCCATACATGGTACAGCCTGCACCCTGAACACTGCACACCATAGCCCTGCTCCCCAGGGTTTCAGCCAAGCCCGATCACTGAGGAGGTGGCACTGACTAGCAGTTACCCTCTGTGCACCTCCCACTGCATGCTGCCCTGACCCTGCGAGATCAGCCTCCCGCCCCACACTGCAGCTGTTGCCTGTCCACCATGAGCCCAGGCTGAACGCACAGGTTCACTTACTGCATGCTAACTCTGCAGACTGCAGCCCCAATTTCCCACTGCAAGCTCCTTCACCCTCTGAAAACCCCTCATCACCACCACTCTGCTCTGCATCCCATGGGTTTCATCCCAACTGCCTTTCTCATCCTTGTGATTCCAGGGGGTCCCAGGAGAGGCGCCCTCCTCTCTCCCATGTATTGCAAAGCCCAGTACCCCCTGTGAAAGAAGTGGCTCCAAGAGAGCTGAGGATGCAGGTGGCTGAGACGAAGTTGAGTGAGGGCAGCCCAACTCAGAACCCCCCTACCACACACACACACACACACACACACACACCTACCCTTACCAAGCAGACTGCAGAGAC